CCTGGTGAGACCTCTCCTGGTAACGCCGAAATCTACTGCTGCTCCCGAGTCCTCCAAGTAACAGCCCGGGCTCAGGATTCCCAACTACAAACGCGCCCCATCCCACTTCTGCTGGCTAATGAAAGCGCTGGCCTTTCCCGACACAGAGGCTTCGAAACAGATCAGCCGCCTTCATCCACTAATCAGCTCCTGACTAAAGACATTCCTCCGGGGGACTGAGGGTCAAGAGCATGCGCAGAAGCCGGCGGGCCCGAAGGCGCCCCCAGCGGCTAACAAGCCTCAGTGAAACTGGAAAGTTCGGCTTCCCTCGGCCACACTCGGTCTCCAGCCCCGCCTCTCGGCCCGCCTTTTCCTCCCAGCGCCGCGTTGATGGGCGCGCAGCGGGCTCTGAAAGCCCGACTGTGGGCTGGGCGCTGTGGCGCACGCCTGTAATCCCAGCACTTTGGGAGGCCAAGGTGGGTGGATCAAAGTTCGCGACCAGCCTCACCAACATGGTGAAACCCCGTCTCTACTAAATTAGCCGGGCGTGGTGGCGCACGCCTATAATCCGAGCTACTCGGGAGGCTGAGACAGGAGACTCTCTTGTCCCTGGGAGGCAGAGGTTGCGGTGAGGTGAGCCAAGATCGCGCCATTGCACTCCAGCCTCGGCAACAAGAACGAAACTCCGTATCAAAAAAAAAAAAAAAAAAAAGCTCGACTGTGGGCCTGCGACCTTCACGCGCCAGCGCTGGAGAGGTGCCAGGCTCCCTGGGGCCGAGACCGGGGCAGGCGACGACACTTCATCTGGCCTCCTAGCCTCGGCCTCTAAGCTTCCTGCATCTTCTGCTTCATCCTAGGTGATGCTGGACGTGACAGAGAAGGTGACAGGTCACCCTGAGTGCGGGACTCCGTGTGAGTCTGAACGAAGTGGGCCTCCAGGTACCACGCCTTTGCTTCTGCTGTGGCATCTGATGAGTTCCCTGTTCATCTCTCCAGGCATACCCAGGGCAATCGGCCCTGATGCCCAGGGGCTAGGCTTGCAAGACTGCGCATTACGTTCGCAGAGCCGGAGTGCAAAGCCAGACCTGGTACCACCAACAGCATCTCTGCCTTCGTCCTCATCTGGTTCCCGCCTCAAACCTGTACCCGTGCTGGGGAGCCTGGAAGGTGCGTGCTGTGAAAGTAAATGAATGAATGAGGCTCCTGGTGGATGGCGGGCGCGTGTTTGCCCCTGTAGGGCTGCTACAATGGAAAGAACATTTGCTAGTCTGGCGTTATGGGTTCCAGTTCTGGTTCCGTTTATCATTGCTGCTTAATAAGTTCCTCCCCCCATCTGGGTCCTAACTTCTTCTTTTTTGTTTTTGTTTTTTGAAACGGAGTTTCAGTTTTGTTGCACAGGCTGGAGTGCAGGGGTGCGATCTCAGCTCACCACAGCCTCTGCCTTACTGGCTCAAGCGATTCTCCTGCCTCAGCCTCCCGAGTAGCTGGGACAACAGGCATGTGTCACTACGCCCCGCTAATTTTTGTATTTTTAGTAGAGATGGGATTTCACCATGTTGGTCAGGCTGGTCTCGAACTCCGGACCTCAGGTGATCTGCCCACCTCAGCCTCCCAAAGTGCTGGGATTACAGGCGTGAGCCACTGCGCCCGGCCAGTCCTAACTTCTTAACGTGTAAAAGGAGACTTGAACTCTGATAAATATATGTTGAAGGCCAACAAGGAGCCCAGCATTAAGTACTGGGGATACAGGTGAGCAAAACGGACAGCCCTGATCCCCAGAACATATGGTGTGGATTAGGAGGCAGTCAACAATCACGTGGACGTAATCATACGTGTACATTTTTTTTTTTTTTTTTTGAGATGGAGTCTAGCTCTGTCACCAGGCTGGAGTGCAGCGGCGCGATCTCGGCTCACTGCAACCTCTGCCTCTCGGGTTCAAGCAGTTCTCCTGCCTCAGCCTCCCAAGTAGCTGGGATTACAGGCATGCGCCACCACGCCCGGTTAATTTTTGTATTTTTTAATAGAGATGGGGTTTCACCATGTTGGCCAGGCTGGTGTCGAACTCCTGACCCCAAGTGACCTTTCCACCTTGGCCTCCCAAAGTGGTCTCACTGTTGCCCAGGCTGCAGTGCAGTGGCATGGTCATAGCAACTGCAAAGGTCTGGAGCGTGAAACACACACATTTCTTGAATTGGACATTATAAGCACTCTTAAAAGCATACAAGTCAGAGGTGTGGAAGCTTCAGCAAGTTAAATTGAGAAGGCCTTGGAGAATTCTTTGAAAGCCCCTAAGTATTTGAGCAATCCTATAAACGTATGTGAAGACCTCTGACCCTGTTTCCTGATGGAAATGTCCAGATTATTGATCTGACCGGAACAGTCCAGGTTCCATGATGCAAGCAGTGGTGTCTGTCATCTGACTTTGAGAGACATCTGGCTCTGTTTCAAAAGAACTAAAACTATAGTTCCAGCTACTTCGGAGGCCAAGGTGGGAAGATGGCTTGAATCCAGGAGCTTGAGGCTGCAGTGAGGTGTGATCTCACTACTGCACTGATCTCACCACTGCACTCCAGCCTGGGCAACAAAGCAAAACCCTGTGTCAAAAAATAAAGTAAAATGAAAGAATTTAAAATAATTATGCAGCAAAATGTTTACTATATTTCTATAAATTCAAATAAAACATGCCAAATCCTTTCTCCCCCCATAATTTCAATGAGCATGTACAGTAAAATTCTTAGGGAACAATGTGAGCCAGGTAATTGTTGATCTGGTTGAGTAGCACTTTAGAGATAACTTTTATGCGTTCTCCCATTCAGGGCTTTACCCTGTCAGGAGAACTCAATTAGCCCTCTTAATATAAACAAACTGGCCGGGCATGGTGGCTCACATTGGCCCAACAAAACCTTTGGGATGCTGAGGCGGGCACATAACTTGAGTCCAGGAGTTCAAGATCGGCCTGGGCAACCTGGCGAAACCTTGTCTCTACAAAAAATACAAAAAAATTAGCCGGGCATGGCGGCATGCACCTGTAATCCAAACTACTTGGGAGGCTGAGGTGGGAGGATTGCTTGAGCCTGGGAGGTTGCAGTGAGCTGAAATTGTGCCACTGCACTCCAGCCTGGGTGACAGAGCAAGACTCTGTCTCAAAACAATTTTAAACAAAACAATGAACTTGCTCAGAGAGGTTGAGTACCTTCATAAGTTCACACAGCTATGACAGGGTAAAGTTAGGCCTGGCACTTCAGCTGTGTCAACCCAGCATTTCTTCTGCCACGTCACGGAGTCCCCTCCACACGCATACTTTTGTAAGATACAGCAACCAGCCCTTCATGTTTTTCTCTGTCATTTTACAGGCCACTTCTCTCTCATCTTTGTAAGCAAGCCTGAATAATTCAGCTTGAGATAAACATGGCTGCTTTAAAGTTTTACAGCACTTGTATTTTTAGTTCTTCTGAAACACAGCCAGATGTCTCTCAAAAGTCAGATCACAGACACCACTGCATGCATCATGGAACCTGGACTGTTCTGGTCAGGTCAATAATCTGGACATTATAATTTTTTTCTTTTTTTCTTTTTTGTCGAGATGGAGGTCTCACTTTGTTGCCCAGGCTGGTCTGGAACTCCTGGGCTCAAGTGATCTGCCTGCCTGGGCCTCCTAAAGTGCTGGGATTACAGGCTTGAGCCACTGCACCTAATTCTTTCATTTTAATTAAGAGTGTTTTTCTCTTCCAAAAGGTGGTTTTAAAATTTCACATGTGGTTCTCTCCTTATTTTCAGTCGAGAAGAAGCAAAAAAAAAAAAAAAAAAAAGGATTAGAGAGTAAAACAATTGGCAGGAGCTTTTGGATATTTTTACTTATTCTATTGTGCAACACATTCCGTGACAATACAGGTTTTCGAAGTTGTTTAGATGGTTTGTCTGTGAGCATGTCTGTTCCTACAGTTCTCCAGAACATGAGAGCCCTTCATGCCTAATCTGGGCTCCTGCTGATAGACTTCTCAAGGGGTGTGAGTTGGCCAGCCATGGACCTGGATACATGGACCAGTGGCTACAGGAGATGTGAACACAATGCTGAGAGCAATGGAAATGTAAGCAAAGTAACATGTATGCTTGGTGAACAATCAGAAGTATGAAATATGAGAAACCAAACCTGCCTGATTGATAAGAATGGGGGGCCGGGTGCAGCGGCTCACCCTTGTAATCCTAGCACTTTGGGAGGCTGAGGCGGGCGGATCATGAGGTCAGGAGTTCGAGACCAGCCTGACCGATATGGTGAAACCGTCTCTACTGAAAATACAAAAATTAGTCAGGTGTGGTGGTGCGTGCCTATAATCCCAGCTACTCAGGAAGCTGAGGCAGGAATATCGCTTGGAGGCGGAGGCTGCAGTGAGCCGAGATCGTGCCACTGCACTCAGGCCTGGAAAACAGAGTGAGACTCTGTCTCAAACAAAACAAAACAAAACAAAAAACAAACAGAATGGGGGGTAGGCGGTTTGAGGAGCATGAGGCTTGGACCTATTAGACCTGGAGATTTGGGGAACTAGGGATGGCAACCGTGTTCCTTGTACTGTATGCAAAAGGGAAGTAACAAGTATTGAATGTTCACTTACCTCTTTCATTCCCCAATATGAAGTAGATATTCCCATTTCTGAAAAGAAAAAGAAAAAAGGAGGCTCGGGAGAACCAGAAAGCAGATGGAACAAAGAGGACTTCATTCAGTATCGGATGAATTAAGTTAGTAGTTCTATGTATGTATGTGGGTCTTCTAATTTGATTTTCAAATTGTTCTTTAGAAAGATTTTTAGCTATATTAAGATTTCTTAAAAAGCTGGGCCATGCCAGGCAGGGTGGCTCATGCCTACAGTCCCAGCCACTCAGGAGGCTGAGGCGGGAGGATCACTTAGCCCAAGAAAGGCTGCAGTGAGCTATGACCATGCCACTGCACTCCAGCCTGGGCAACAGTGAGACCCTGTCTCAAATAAATTGAGAAAAAAAAAAAAAAAGAAAAAAAAAGCTAGACCAAGAGTATAATTTCAGGCATCAATTCTGTAGTTCCTTACTAGAGAAGTTTCTCTCAATGTGTACAGCACTGGAAACCATGAGGAGGTGGCAGGACAGCATTCTCTGCTGAGCGTGAGGTTGGCTCTTGGTGTTGCTTTGCTGCAACTGTCATTTGCCATTGATGATGGTTCTTCTCTTCCTCCAAGGGAGAGGGAGAGAATGCAGTCTGAGTGGGGGGAGAAGCCTGGGCCATGCACTTACAGACTGTTAACATTGGAGTCTTGCTAGTGAACATTTTAGTTGATTGGATTGTTTGGACAGCTGAGTTTGATATTTACAATATCCCTAGCTTACCACTTAATGTCTGTTCTTCTAGATGCTGTCCTTTTCCCATATCTTGTTAGTATTCTCTTTAACCCATTCTTCAGCTTGGTGAAGTGTTAGTATTCCTTCCTCTGACACTTGTTCACTCAGCACAAAGAATTCCTACTGTTACCTCTTCAGAACCCTACAGTCATTACAGATGAGGAAGCTGATGCAGGTAGGAGACACGACCAGAAGCATGGGCCATGATGTTAAGAGAACAGGGACTCAGAGTGGGGTTTTAATCTAGTTCACCCACCCACTTACTAGTTTGTAACCTGAGAGCTTCCACTTCCCCATCCCCAACATGGGGTCATCCTGTCATGGGACTGTTGTGAAGAATGAGATGCCACACAGACGAGCAGTCCTAGCTAATGTTAGCTGTTAATGGGTGAAGGAAAAGCAGGCACTTAACATGTGGATATAGGCTATCACTTATCTTTGTCTCGTGACACCATCCTCACTAGTTCACAACTGCCCTTTAGTACAGGCTGAGCATCCCTTATCCAAAATGCTTGGGACCATTTGTTTCAGATTTCTAATTTTTTTTCAGACTTTGGAATATTTGCATATACCTAAGGTTTTTATATATACTTTATGATCTTAGATATTTTAGACAGGGTCCCGCCCTGTCACCCAGTCTCGAGTATAATGGTACAAACATGGCTTACTGAAGCCACAGGCGAATACCACCGCGCTGCACTGATTTTTTAAAAAATTTCTTGTAGAGGCGGGCATGGATTTAAGTGATCCTCCTGCGTCAGCCTCCCAAAGTGCAGGAATCACAGGCATGAACCACCATGCCTGGCCTATGGTTTTAATATACAGGTTGGGCATTCCTAACCCGAAAATCCAAAACGTTCCAATGAACATTTCCTTTGAGTGTCATGTTGATGTTTTGTTTTTTGGGTAAGGGATGCTCAAGCCATATATTAAAAACACAAAACTAGCCAGGCATGATGGCTCATACTTGCAATCCCAGCACTTTGGGAGGTCAAGGCGTGCAGATCGCTTGACACCAGGAGGTTGAGGTTTGTCTACAAAAAATTAGCCAGGCATGGTGGCATGCCTGTAGTCCCAGCCACTTGGGGGTGGCTGAAGTGGGATGATTGATTTGAGCCTGGGAGTTTGAAGCTGCAGTAAGCCATGACTGCACCAATGCATTCCAGCCTAGAACCCCTCTCAAAAAACTTAAAACTCTTTAATACTGACACCTACATACTCCTACCCATTGTTAACTGCACCTTACTCAAGATCCTAAATTGTTCACCATCCCATCTTTTATATTTCTCTTATCAGATGCATATACTTAATGTCTTTGCTCAAAGTGTTGCTTTGAACATTCCCAGGCATGTATCCTCATGTCCACATGTAGTTTCTCTTGAAGTAGAACTGCCATTTTCCCCAAGTAGTTGCAGTAACTTATACAAATGGTCTTTTTCACATTGACATGACAGCCCCGCCTAGAAGTCATGCTTTTCATCACTGAATGTCTTCTTCTATTAAATGCTAATGCAGATAAGGATAAGACTCATTCATGTGCCTGGCATGTCATTAGCTGCTCTGAATACACAATACCCATGGTTTATTATATAATCCAAGCCTGAAAAGTCGAAATTTCCATTCATGGTATTTTTTTTTTTTGAGACGGAGTCTCGCTCTGTCACCCAGGCTGGAGTGCAGTGGCAGGATCTCGGCTCACTGCAAGCTCCGCCTCCCGGGTTTACCATTCTCCTGCTCAGCCTCCGAGTCTGGACTACAGGCCCCCCCTCGCCCGCTAGTTTTTTGTATTTTTTAGTAGAGACGTGGGGTTTCACTGTGTTAGCCAGGATGGTCTCGATCTCCTGACCTTGTGATCCGCCCGTCTCGGCCTCCCAAAGTGCTGGGATTACAGGCTTGAGCCACCGCGCCAGGCCTCATGGTATTATTAATTGGCAAACAAAAAAAGCTCTTAGCTTTTGGAACCCAGGTTTGAATCTTGTTTTATCCACTTTGTGTAACTGGGGACCTTAATAAACTATGAAGTAAACTTTCTGCATTCCTTCAGTGTTACCCAAGCATTTGGTGAGACATTACACAGCTAGGTCTTAGTTTCTTTACAACCTTGGGATGTAGCAGTCAATTCAGCATAGGTCAAAGTTCATTATTAGGCAGGGTTGTATAGGGTAATTACCCAGGAGGCTTTCTAATGCTGGTCTGTATTACCCTCTGCCCCCAGTGGAGGGGACACACCTTATAATCCTCAAGTTTATACAGGTAACCTGGACAAAGCATCTGCTCTGATCTTTCCTCCTGACACCCCAGTGCAGTTTTTAACACTGTACCATGAGGTGCCTTCTTGTTAGCATCAGGATTGTGTATGATCTCACATCTGGCAACGGTGGCAGGGAAAATCCAGCCTGTCATGGCAGAATAGGTTGAAAGCCAACATTACAAAACTGATACCATTTTTGCACAGCGCATTCCCAAGCTATGGGCAAGACCAACAGCAGTAAAGTTCAGCTTTTTATTGAACACGTTATAAAAGAGATTTAGTCAAAAAGACCAAAGCCCATGTCATCATCAGATTCCTCGGATTCTTCTTTCTTTGCTTCCACTTTCTTCTCCTCAGCTAGAAAAAAAACAGTCAGGTGTTAGGATTTCCATACATCATCTGCTTGTGGAAAATTAACGGCAATTTTACCTATAATACTATATATATTTTTTAAATCTCTACACTCCTCCCAATACTAGAAACTCCATGTTTCCTACCTGGAGCAGCAGCAGTGGAGGGGGCAGGACCTCCTGCTGGTGCAGCACCAGCTGCTGGAGCAGGTCCACCAGCCCCTACATTGCAGATGAGGCTCCCAATGTTGACATTGGCCAGGGCCTGCAATACATGTGCATGCATAGGTAAATGCCCAGTTCTGTCCTTGTTACACAGCACTCACGCACCAAAAACGAAAAGTATCCCCCCTTCCAGGTTACAGTGATCAACCCCTAACACTATATACAGTGGGTTCCACATCCATGGTTTCAACAGTGGAAACGCATGCATATCAAACATGTAGACTTCCAAAGTATACAGGAGGATGTGCATAGGTTATATGCAAATACATTTATATAAGAGATGGAACATCCTGGGATTTTGTTATTAGTGGAAGGCCCTGGAATCAATACCCTAGACACTGGCTTTTCTTTGCTAACAGCAAAAACTTAGGTTAGACAGGGCAACACACTACTGTTCAGCTTTGAATCTGATAATTACTTTCCTATATGTTAAGAACCTCCTGAGGTAGCTGATTTCCCCTCCTTTTACAAATAACATGTTGGCAAAAAAATAATCCAAACTTCCTGAAACACTCAAATGAATATTCTTTGCACAATTCCATGTCTCCTCTGAACAGTGAACTCAAATTTTCAGTCTTCTAAACATAGGACTTAAAGATGACATAGATACAATGTTTACAATCTTTCAAAACTCTTTAGAGGACACAACCCCGGAGTTAGATGCTATCAGCTTAACTTGCCAGAGATTAAGTAACCTGTACAATGGAAAATAGCCAGTGCAAGCTCCATGACCAGGAATCTCGTCTTTATTAGTCTTTTATATCCCAACACATAGTACCTACTGTGTCAATAAAGTCCGCTAAACCCAAATGTCCATTAAACCACAGGTTTAATGCAAGAATTTGCTTGCAACTTTAACATGGGTAGTACCTATCTCCCGGGTGATCCTTTTTGGGAATCAATGACCTGATTCAGATTTTTTTTTTTTTGACCATGGTTTCAGAGCAAAAGGGGAAACCAGAGTCTGATAAGGAAACATAAGACTTGAGAAACTGAAATCTTCTTAGCTCCTAGAGATATAAATGCAACCAAATACACCTAGGAGATCCAGCGGCATGTGGGGCCTTATGGCACTGCTGGAGGTACTTCAGCATGTACACCTGCCCTCGTAAATCAGCAGGCTTTACCACATCACTTTGCCACCATCACCTTACCTTTGCAAACAAGCCAGGCCAAAAAGGTTCAACATTTACACCGGCTGCTTTAATGAGGGCATTGATCTTATCCTCCTACAACAAATAAAAACGTCAATCCATCAAAACATAGCGTATGTAGTATCTCCAAAACGCTGCAAGTCAAAGGCAAGTCACTCAATAAAAAGTGTACAGGACATGTTTAACCAGCTCAAATATTCTATCACAAGCAAAAGAGATGTGTGCCAGGCGCCCTGCAATGAGGCGAGCCCATCACTGCTGTTTCACGGGCTGGGACTTGCCTGAGTCACGCGGCTATTTTTAAGTTAGGACCTGGAAGGTGGAGCCGAGCTGGGGCGCTATCCTCCACGACCCGGGGAATTCAAGGCAATTATACCAAAAGAGTTCCAAGTAAGTGTCCCTGAGAGAGACGAGGCGCGGGTCAGGGTGCCCAAGCGCTGCGGAAAAGCTTTTCTACACGAAGGATCTTGGAGCCGGAGAGCCCAGCCTCAAGCGCACTCCACGCCCCCCGGGCCCGCACGTGGTCCCGGGGGCCCAGGTCCCGCTCTGCGAGAGAGGCCCCAGCCCCCAGGAGCGCCCGCCCCATGCCGCCTGTCTTCGCGGCCTGGCCCCGGCCGGAAGTGCTGGGCCCAACGGCCTGGAGCCCGGAACCGCATGGAGAGGCGGGAGTCGCCGCCCACAGGCAGCCAGGCCGCCGACCCGCGCCCGCACTCACCGTGACGGTCACCTCATCGTCATGCAGAATGAGGGCCGAGTAGATGCAGGCGAGCTCGGAGACGGAGGCCATAGCGCGGGCAAGTGTGGGGCTGGCGCTGCCGGACGCGGTGCTAGTCGCCGGATGAAGTGAGGCCCTCACTCCAACGCGGCCTTAGCTTTCTCGGAAGGACCG